TTAACTGTCTGACTGTTAAATACTTGGTGGCAAAGAGACTGCCAGTGCACTGCCTATCGAGGCACCACTGCCTATCTAGCATGCAGTGCCCTGTACAGGGGCCTGTGGGCAGCCACACTGGCATGGCAGCAGAGGGACCTAGGGAACAAACGGGGACTGAACACACTGGAAGCACACAGGAGAGGGATGAGGACCTGCCTCAAACAGCACATGCACAGAAACTGAGGCACTGTCTTATCAATAACTCTTATTTACTGTCAGCAACACACTCCCCAAAATAGTAAAAGTTAATGTCAGCAACAGTCAAGCAGCTGCTTTTGTAGACTTTGTCACCCTATTTACTCCTCTGCTAGCAAAGAAGCAAAACTCTTCTACCTTACAGGTTTATGGTGAAAGCAACCAACAGTAACCAAGACAGTGAAACAAACACCTACACAACCAGCCAACTTCTGTCAGGGCACTTATAGGAAACAGGCACCTAACCATGTCCTAACCCAACCATGCTTAGTACAGCAGTTTGGAGCTGCTGAAATTAACTGGAAAAGCATTGGAAATACAGTGATGGAGAAAAAAAAAGGAATGTTTCACTTCTATCATTCAGCTTTTCTCGCAGTAAAACTGACTGGCCTAAGCAAGGCACCCAGAGTGCACCAGCAGCGAACAAATGGAGCTGACTGTCCCCCCAACAGCCATGAACATAAGTTCAGCCTCGGGCTAAGTGTGAAATTTCATTTCGTTCATGGACTTCAGAAACTAATGACCTTTGCAAGATAGATTTCAGTCCTAAACCACCTCCTGGATTCAGAAACTAAAGCGGGTGCTTCCACAGCTACCAGACCTGGAAGCCATATCTTGTGCCTGTTTTCCAACCTGCACATAGCCAGGACTTGTCACAATTACATTCTTACTATCCTGATGAGTTGGTTAGACACATACCTCACGTATCCTAAGAGAAAGACCTAATCATCAGGCTAACAAGACAGAAATATGGGATTCACAGAACAAGGGAAGGAGAGCATGACTCCATCTGATTGAACAGAGCCTTCCTCTGGCAAGATGCCTGCATTTTGATCTCTGTTTTGGGCACAGTAATGCAATGGAGGGGAAAGGGAGGGGGAAGAAAAAAGGACAAAAAGGGACAAACGCAGGAATAAAAAGTGCAAACATCATTAGACTTGAAGTGGTCAGGCAGTTGGACTCTGTGAGCTTTGAAGGTCCCTTCCAACCTAACTATGCTATTCTATGAGAGCGTGAGCTGCAGTCACAACGTTTCCCATGGAAGTGCCTGAAGCAGAAGGGTGATGTTGCACGCAACACTGCACCAGAGCATAAGCAAAACAGGGCAAGAATTCTACCTTCTTATACAGGTGTCAGGAATTACTTCACTAGACTGACTGCTCTCCTTTTTCAGCCAACAACACTGGCATCCCATAAAAGCAGGCACAAAGTCATCTCATAACACTTTGCACCACACCTATTTTATGGGCACTGGAAAGCTGCAATAGGAAATTCCATTCTACTACATGAAGTTCTTTTTCACCTACTGCGACTGTATAAAAGGGCAGGTTACAGCCTTACTGCAGCCAGGCAAAGCAGCACTAACTTCAGACAGCAAGTAGCCAGGTTTGCACTAGGATTACATCCTGCTGGTGGTACTGTGCTGTTCCCGCAGCAAACTAAGCTGAAATTAAAACCTTTATCAGCATATCCTAATCCCTAACCATCATGGCTTGAGATTGTGTCAAAAGAAAGTATCAAACAGGATACTAGTATCTCAAGTAATATCTCAATGACAAAAAAAAAAAAAAAGTTAAACTATAGAAACTGTCATTGAAACTTAAGGATACTAAAATGTGATAAAGAATTTATAAGGCTTCTTTAATTTCAATTTCTTTTATTCCTATAGAAGGCCAGTTGAAAAAGAATTCAAACAAATTTTAGAAGTTAGGGGGCATCTGACATACAGTATTTTGTCTGTACTGTGTTATTGTCAAGCAATATTTTACAGCTCTTTGCTCCATATAAGGCAGATCTTAATCTCTGGCTCTTTACTTTTGAACTTCACTTCAAATACTGTGCTAAACTAAGCCCCAATAACAGTATTCAAAATACACTGACCAAACTTATCAGTATCACAAGCGAAAACCTTGGAAAAATATGTTAGGCAAAAATGAAGTTTGTACAAAACACTCAGGTCAGTAATGCACAGAGCACTAATGTACGCAATCAGAATCATTAATGCTGCCTGAAATTAGCGTTGTCAATAGCATTTTTTTTTTTTTTTATCTTATAATCTGTCCTATAGAAGAAAAAAAAAGAGCTCCTCCTCTCAGAAACAGACAGAATTTGCATAATGACAAAAAATATCTTATGTAACTTCTTGGAGTACGACTTTAAAGAAGAAAAAATGTCATCTGATGTTGCTATATTACAATTTTTAGGCAACGCTAAAGAGCACAACTGCCCTCTCTGAGGCACTGGAACACATGGCACCCAGGGGAAACTGCTCACTGACACAAGCAGACTACGTGCAGCACACAGACTACTTTTGAACCCTGCTGTCAGGGTCACCATACTTCAAGCAGCTGCCACCATCCCTTTTTGGCCAGAGCAACAGCAGGCACCCATGGGGCTGGCAGAGCCCCATTCCCAACCCAGTTTGGAGACATCTGTTTCAGCAATGTTTCGCGAAGTTTCTCCCTCCCCTAGTCAGGGTATTGAGATTTCACTGCATCACCTCCTCAGGAACACCTGATGATCAGAAACACCATTTAGCTGTTATTAAAACAAGAGTGCAGTAATTGTAAAGGTTGCATTACTGCCAGCAGTAGAGCAGAGACACATGTTCAGTATGCAGTTAATATATTAACTCATGACAGCTCTGTCCCTCTTCCATAGTCATTACATCCCATAGCAAACTGACTGCCTCGTGCCTCCACCTGTGGACCTGGGTAACCTAACACTAATTCAGCAGAAGCAACAAAAGCCTGTTACAGTGGGATTGACCTTGAACTGATGTTAAGTCACTCTACGCAGGAAGTAATGGTATGCCAAGGGCAAAGTCAGAGCCTCAACACTCAGTGCAGTCATTCACCTTCAGATAAGAGGGGAGAAAAAGTTATCTATTATGACATTTCTAATGTGATCTTCTCTGTTAGTATCTTCTTTCCAGCATAGTCTCAATGACCGCCCTCTTGTGATCTATTTTATACTTCAGAGAGTTAAACTCAAAACTTGCATTGCAACCTTCATGCCTTGCATGCACTTTGGGTTATGACGCGCGCACCAAAAGGCACAAGAACCACGTCTGCATCGTGCTCTGCCTCTGACAACCTGCTGTCCTTAGAGGGCATGACATATTCAACACCTCAGCTCTACCACTGACAGTAGAACTACACTGGAATCAGCTGCAAGGTTCAAAGCTTCATTGTCAATTTTATTGCTTTCCCATTAAACTAAACCCATTTCTGCTTAATTAGCATTCAGGTGAGGAAGAAGAAGAAAAAAAGAAAACGAGTGAAAGAAGACCCTTTCAGAAAACTTAAAATTTAAACGTTCTTCATTAGTAGAATGAAGCCCTTCACAGATGTAAGAATACCTTGGAGAGCAGCAGCCGAGCATCATTTTATCTGGCAGCATTTCTTTTTTTGACACTGTTTTGCAGTGATGCTAGCCAGTCACACTGTACTTAGGGCTCAGACTGGCACACATAAAGTTCACCTTATCTCAAGGCATACTGCTCTTAGAAGAGCCATGCAACGAACATGAAAACGATTACTTGTATTGAACACTTCAGCCTTCCTAAATCACAATGTAAATCAGATACGGTGAAGACTACAGCACGCACCCTGCAAACTAATGACAGATACTTGCAATCAGGTATAATTTTCTTTCAGCAGAAATGATTTCCAACTAAAGTCTAGCACCTGACATCTACTGCATATTAAAACCCTCAGAAGGACAGAGTAAATTGGGAAGCTACCCTTCACATCTTCCTGTTGTAATTAGGGTATCCTCCATTCAGCACATTTCATTACTAAACTGATGACACCTCAGAGGACTAACTTCTAGCAGCTTACATAAACAAAAAAAATAAAGCATATTGCTGTTCAGATGAAGCAAGTGCCTTAAACAGTCAGCATGTGGAGAATGTGCTATACACTCAGGTATTGACCCCTGACATTAAGACCACTAACGCACCAAAGTGACACACGGTGCTGCTTAATGCACTCCACCATGAAGGCGATGTGACTAGAAGATTGAGCAACTTCGTAATTTTTTACTAATGACCTATAAAACATTTATATTGCATTTAAATCACAATTACAGTCCTGGTGCCGAAGTGCAGCAGTGTTGAGCAGAACACACACAAGCTTTAATAAATTGCAGGCAGGGTTTTTAAAGCACTATGATGTTACAACTCCCTCAAACAAAACTTCCCTCGATGCAGGTCTCACTGTGATTTACGAGCCGCACAGAAACCCAACAAGAGAAAGAACAACTTCAGGGGAAAAAACAACAACAACAACAACAACAAAAAGAAGAAAAAACAAGACAGAAAGCAACCAACATCTTATGTCAACTACCGTTATTAATAAGGGTGAAAGAGGCAGTTGTAAACTGGGAATATTTAGAAGCCTGGTGTGGCATCAATCTGACCAGAAGTTACATGCAGAGCACTTGTAACGGGTCACACTGGTAATGTCCAAAAGATTGAAAGTTAAAAAATAAATAAATAAGTTTAAAAAAAAAAAAAAAGGCTGTCGAACACACCTTTGAGTTTTCAGTGGAAAGGAGAGCGGTGAGTTGGCGAGAGGGATGGTGAGCATCCAGCCACACACCGCCAGACAAACCAAAGTTGGGGGCAGAACTCCTCTCCTCTCTGCACAACCCGCTGCCTTCACCACAGCGCTGAACTCCCCGCAGCCCGCATGCTCCCACCCGGCACCCCACGCTCGTGCCCACAACTTTCACAGCCCCGGCCCGCTCATCCCGGCTACCTGAGGCTCGGCGGGCTCGGCCGGCTTCACCAGGTGCTTCTCTCTATAGAGAGACCAGAGGCCGATGTCGGGCAGGAAAATCAGCGCCGCGGTGAAGAGCAGCGTCATTTGCAGAAATCTCTTCTGTTTCCTCTTCATGGCCAAAGCCGGGCTGCCGCCGCGGGGCCGCGTCCTTCCCTCCCCGCCAGAGAAACTTCGCCCGCCCGCCTCACGCCCGCCCGCCCCGCACCCGGGCGGGGCCGCCCCCCACGGCGGAGGCGGTGGGGCCGGAGCTGGCGGCCGCTCTACCCGCCCCGGCTCGGCGCTGAGAGGCGAAGGGGCCGCCCCCGCGGGAGCGCATGGAGCCACCTGCGCGCGGAGCAGCACGGCTCGGCGCGGGGCGGGACAGCGAGAAGGAATTGGATGGGGGGAATAAAAACAAAAAAAAAAGGCAAAAGAATAACAATAATGACACAAAGCGCGGCCGAGTAATGCGGAAGCGCTAGGGATGCGCGGAGCTGCCTCACATCCCCCTGCCTCCCGGGGCGGGGAGGCGCGGCATCGTGAGCTCATCAAGCGCAATTTGCTAAGCAAGAGTTAAAATACATCTATATCAAAAAAAAAAAAAAAAAAAAAAAAAGGCGGGGGGGGCGGGGCGGTGGTACAGCGTTTCTCTCCGCCGGGGGATCGGGCGGCGTGGCTCCCCCTACACGTGCGGCCGGGATCGGGGCGGGGCGGGACAGGACGGCTCCCGTCTGCCCCCGCCGCGCTCCCTCATGCCGTCGGGACGGCGCATCTCCGCGGATCAATGGAGCCCCACGGAGGCGGCATGGATGCGGGGCCGCGGGCCGGAGACGAGCATCGCCGCGGCTCAGGGACACCGGGGCTTGCAATTCCCTTTCTAGTCCGTCCTCCTCGGCGCTGCGTGGACCGCGGGAGGAGCTGTGCCGGACCGGGAGCCGTGGGACATTCCCCCCGCTTCGGGAGGAAATCCGAGAGCTGGAGGTGTCGAGGGCATGTGGTTCTACTGCCTTGTTGCATCATTTGAGCTCTGAGTCCGAGTTCAGCTGCTCGCTCCTAGGTCACCGTTCCCTTTCCTCTAAGCAATACGGGAGAACGCTCGGGTAAGCTCACAGCGAGCCAGTGAGTGCCCTTTCAGCTTAATCTCTTTGAGCAGCAGGGAAATGTACCCACTTGCAGCATATGCTTAGAACATATGTCATAAAATAACAATACATCTACCTTCCTTTTTTTCTGACCCCTATATAAAAATTATCAGCTGTGGCCCAAATTTATATTCATGGTTTAAAATATTTCTAAGTGACAGGGTCTAAATCCTACAGTGAGAACTCTCTTCCTGTGTCCAGAGTGTGTCTCTAGAAATGGCAGGAAGCAGTGTCCTTCCCATGGGTTAGATTGATCTCATCCAACTGCAGAACTACCTTTTGCAGAAAGCATTTCCTACACATGCATAATACAATAGGATAGGCAGCTAGCAATTAATTTTAGGAGACTAGCTGGAGATAAAGGGAAGCTTGTGGGAGGAACAGAAGTCTGAAGGTGGGGTGGGAGGGAAAAGTGCAATGCTGAGAAATAGGACTAGAGGGGACCTCAGGAGGTCAGCTCCCGCACAGCTCTGCCCCAAGGCACGATCACTGCACCTCTGTCATTCCTGACAAGCGCTGGGCTAACTCATCTAGAAGCCTCCAGTGACAGCACTGCTCCAGCCTCTTCAGCCAGTTTGTTCTGACTTGCAGCTACTAACTTTTCTTTCATGTGTAACCTGAACCTGCTTTGCTGCGATTTCAGGCAATTATACCAAGGATCAGAAGAGTATTCTCCTCGGTTTTTACATTGCAAAAGCTCACTTTGCTTAGTATTCCACAAACAGCCCAGGACATCGCAAACGCTGATGTGTTGTACCATTCACCATGAAGGTATTTGGCTGATCTGCATCTCTCTTGAAGTCCGACATACAAAACTGAGCATGATACACCACTTGGGTGCTTGTAGGAGAAGGAGGATAATTGTGCACCGTGTGTGCTCTTTTTCTAAGCTTCCATGTGGAGTGCACGCTTTGTTTGCAGCAGCTTCATGCTGTTACCTAATGACCGTTTTGTGAGGGTTTTAAGCTCTGGTTGTTAACGTTTTCCTTGAACCAAATCCCACCTCTTCCATTGTTCCCATCTCTGTTCCTGTGGGTGAATACATCACCCTTTTGCCCTGTTTCCACTGAATATTATCATTTTCCTTCCAGAATTTGTCAAGAGCACTTTGTGATTAAGCCGGTCATATACAAATATAATAAAATCAATTTGTATTCTTTAAACCAGGCTGTTAGTGTGAACTTGAGTGGATTCAGATCCAGGACAGATAGAGCCTTACAGAGTTTGCAGAAGACAGAATCCCACATTCAGTAGTGAGCCACTGCTATTTTATTCTCTGTGCAGTTTCCAGGCAATCCTTTCACACACCTTCAGTAGCTGCAAGACCTACATGAACTAGTCTTTCTTAGACCAGCATCATGTGCAAGGCTTTGCTCTGCTGTCTTAGTGACAAAGGAGAGACATCAATATTTTTCTTTCACCCCAGCCAGGCTACAAGGATATCATGGTATCAGGTCCAAAAGAGTTACATTAAAAAGTTTTGTTTGGTATTCCTGAAGCTGAATCTGCCAAAAAGTAGGAGTACTCACAAAAATCAAAGGGCACTAATCTCATTGTCAGGAATTCCACTTACTTTTCAGCTAGATATTCAGGGCGAGGGAACTTAGGTAGCACGTGGAAGATTTTGATTCAGCTGCCATTTTGTCTGCAGGGATCTAGCCCCAATGTTCTACTCATTGTGAGAAGCATAATAGCTAGAACCATCAATTGCTATAAGTTTGTATAATAATTTAATAGAAAAAGAAGCTGACAGGAAAGATGGGGCATCCTGGAATTCCAACAGCTTGCTCGTTAAGTCCCTCTCTAGAACTAAAAGGGAATGCAAACATTCACATTCACTCTCAGGAGATGGAATTCAATTTCCAAAAAAATAAGAGTGTCTTTGTGGTAGCAGCTGTCCATAATTCACAAATTCAGGTCTCCTTTGTGAAGAATAAAGGCACTGTTTCAGCAAATATTTTTTTCCACACAATCATAAGCCATCTAGCCATAATAAGAATTGCTAAGATTTTAAGATGCTAGTGAAACTTAAAGGAGAAAAAAAATAAAGAAAAAGAAACCTTAAAGTCCTTGCTTGGTGATTTAGAAGCTTCAGCCACACATCAACACAAGTGACAATAATGTATGCTCGCCCTAGAAAAACTTGTAGTAGGATATAGTTTTTTAAGGGGGAATACCTTCAGAACTTAAAATATTTGCTGTTTAGAATCTTGAGCCATATATTAAAAAGAACAATAAAGGTGCATTATAAGACTCTGTATACCTTAGCTCCATAATTTAGTGGATATGCTTTTATATCTGCTCCTACGGGTGCTCTTAAGACAAAACGCCCACCAAGACTTCTGTTACAACTCAGAACCAGAAAACAGAACAGATTACAGAGCGCCCTGGTGCGGAGCTTTCCAGGGAGATGAGAAACTTTCCTGCTATGCGTTTGTACCTAGAAGCTGAACTCAGACAGCATGTAAAGTGCATTCGTTAAGATCACAGCTTTACATGCAGAGTTACTCGCAAGACTCCCACTCACAGCTGATCAATACACTGCATGCAGGAAAGCTACAACAGTGCATAGCTACAGCAGCTCACCTGTACTTGTGTGAAATAGAAAGATCCCATCATTGTGATCCCTGTTACAAACAGCAGAGGTTTATGCACTCTAAATTAAAAATAAATCTAGTAAAACGATGATTAATGGTCTGTAATATTACTATATAAAAGAGTGAATAAAGATAAGGGAATAGGAGTTTGTTTTGATTACAACATTTACCTCCAGTGTTACAGTTGGTATTACAGCTGGAAATATTATCGTGGTGAAAATGGGAAAAGAAACAGAGAAGAAACACTCACCTGTATCCAGAGTTCACAGGAAAGACTCCACAGAAGAGGGACCTCCAAAAAGAGATCTTTCCCCAGTGGCAGTCATCCCTTAAATGGGATCTAAGAGAGGTGCAGCCAGACTCCATCACTTCCAGTCACATAGGTGAATTGCCTTCACCTATTTTCCCATGGCTAACTCAGTCTTTTCCTCGGGTGATCAATCAGTGGTTCAGGCCATGACTCAACAGTTTCCATACACTCCAGGTAACTCAGGATGTAAAATAGTTATTCAGCTTAGCTATTACAGAACATTTTCAAAGCCAGGATGAGGGGAAAAGGGTTCTTTTCTTCTACTCCTTCAAGCCCTATCTGGGGAGGTCTGTTGTTCTGATATTTAGGGCACTGACACACTTTTGTCATGGCTGTTTTTCATCCTCAGACCTCCAAAGGTTTTTCACGGCACATCAGATACTCCCTCACTTAACCTTGACTAAAACCTCCAGGCAGACACATGACACTGGTAGCCCACTAGAAATGGAAATTTGTTGTGATAGGAAGGAACACCTTAACAAAAGTTCAAAATCCAAAATCCTCCAAACTCCTGCAGAAAACATACATTCTCAATGTATTCTGCAGAGGAATCTTTCAATGTATTTACCTCAAAACCCCAAGTGATTGATTATATATATACTGGTTATAAGTCCATCACATGTAGCAGTTTTTTTTCTTATTGATCTCTTTCATTTGGCCGAGGAACTTCTGCTAAGGGAGAAGGGGAAGCTTAGGAACCCTCCTACTCATATGGGAAATATAAAAGTTCAGCCCCCAGAGAAAAACACAAGAGGAGTTTAAGTCCCTTTTGCCGAAAGTTTTGGATCTTGACTTGTATTTTTAAGATAATAGGTTTGCCAACATTACATGGAATAAACAAAAAAACAAACAAAAAAAACCCAACAAAAATACTTGAGAAGTATCATGCAAACAGTTCTTAAAGTCTTAATTCTAATAAATCAGAAGAAATCTTCTTTTTAGCTGGTGGAGATTTTCCAGTCAGAGTACACCTGAAAATACATCAGCTCCATAGAAAGCTTATTAGAAGCTAAAATAATGAAATTATATGAAAAGTTTCTTTGAGTGTCTGTAAAAATCTTTGAGATTTAGAAAACTGTTT